AACCTCGGCGGATCAAGCACGTGCAAGGACTTGCAGAAACCCTTCTATGCCACCTCCCTCTGGCTGGAATTCCGGGTTCCGCGCCTTCGTGCAAGGCCAGGGAGTTCAGGCTGCCTCATCAGAGGGTTGAGGGGACTCCCAGGAAAGCGTAGCAAAACCTGCCCCCGACAATACTTCTGCTCCTTGTCTCATAGATGAGATGAAACAACCAGACAGCTGCAAAACGGCCCACATTTCCCCATTGTTCAGCGAAGACCCAGCCACCGCAACGCACACACCTCCCCCTGCCTTACACCCAAACCGCGAAACAACGCACATAGTTTCCGCCTTCGAGACACCGAAGCCCCGCAAGAAAATGCGCAGTTCCCTCCGCCAGACACCAAAACTGCTGCACAAGCAGAGCATTCCATTTCCCCCACCCCGCCCCAGCCACAATGCAGACACATGAACTGCTGCGAAAATGCACCTAGTTCACCCACCCGCTCACAGACACCAACCGCCGAACAAACGCACAGTCCAACAGTGAACTTTATGCAGCAATGCATGCTCTTATCAGGCGCCTCTGCCAGAATCGCGGCCATGAAAGACCGCACAAACACATACGCACACATACCGAATCTGAATGCCTGTTTATCGCGCCGGTACCGGAGGCAAATGCGGTTCTGTTGCGGAAGCACGCTAGATGGGGCAAGAGTCTCTAATCGAGCCGTTCCTGCCAAGAAGCGGGTCCCGATTCCTGACACTGCACTGAAGTTCTGAGACGTGCACGAGTCGGGGACAGCTCCATGCTGAACACCCCGCGAACCTGCTGAACATACAACGCAAAGTGTGAGGCTTGCGACAGCCCATGGCAGAATCTGAGGACAGGTACATATTAATCCAAATTTCAATGTGCTGTGTGCCCGTTCTAGTGATCTAAACTTCCGGTCTGCGGATGGACGAAGAACGACTCCACGTGATTCATGTGGGTCTTGGCTGTTGCAGGAGTCCACAGAAACGATCACACCTCCCACGGAAGCTCCTCCGGAAGGCCACGGAACCCTTCTCAAACACCTCAGGTCGGCTGAGGGGCTTCGACTTTGCCTGGGCCAAGATTCACAGAAAGTCCCCGGGGGTTTCTGTGGCCTGCAAGCTTTCCCTGCCATCCGTTTATCATGTTGCCTGTCACCAGGGTTGAGCCGGCCACCCGCGGGCGAAGAAGAAGCGTCCTGGCGCACACAGTCAGAAGGCCACGGGACGTACTCAGTCCATGCAACGATGTTCTGGATGCGACATGACATCGGAGGCTGGGCTGTCTGGCACAGATTTTGGGGTCTGTGGGCTTCTTCATGGTTCTAGTAGCTCAGGCTCATGCATTTGTTGAAATAATTAACACAAAAAGCAAGCCAAATGAAGGTGACGCTGAGCCCTCAACCCCAAACCCCAACCCAAAGGCTCAACTGCTCAAAAAGGCCGAGAAGAAAACAAAGTGAAGCATGGCAACCTCAAGCTAGGCACGCCCAGGCTCTACATTGTAAAGGCACACCGTTTAGGGTCTCGGTTTACCATGCTGAGTTGAGGGGGTTTAAAGCTGAAGGGCTGCGAATTTAAGGGTTTGAGTGTTTGAGGATTATAAGCCTTTGCTACAGTAGATGAAGGCCACACGTGAGGTTCAGTAGTTTTACCTAAGGTAGCGGACCCAAATCTGAAGACTCCAGAGTATAGAAAAAGCAACGCAACTCTAAAAAGTAGCCCGTAGCTATAGATCAACACCAACCCCATGTCATGCCGCATGAAGTCCTCCAAGCCCGAAGCCAATGTCACATCCATGCATCGTCGGGTAACTCAGTGACAGAAAGAGCCGAAAGCAACCAAGGAAGTTAACTTTTCGATACTCATTGGAGTGCCAGAGAAATGTTTCAACCTTCACAGCAGACATATCCACAGTTGGAATTCGTGCCGCCCATCATCAAGCCTCTCGCGGAGGCTGCTGCACATCTCGCCCCTTCTTTCGCTTGGCCACGTGGGGGGTGAATATCTTAACAATGCGTTCCTCTCGTGCTGTTCCGGTATCGACTGCTGCTGTAGCAGATCCGCAGACCCGACTGACACCACACTCCCAAACAAGTCCCGCTCCGAGTCATCGGCGGCTTCGGCTAAGCCGGCAGTGACGACACCTCAGGCAGAAATCAGACTAAACCCCAACCATCAGCTATGTGCCACCCAGCGATCAACTGCTGTGTCTGTCATGGGAAGACCCGACAGCGAAGCACCGGGAGTCATGTCTAGCAACTGCAGTCTTACTCTTTGCTCGGCTGCTGCACAGAACTGCCCCTTTGCTGATTCGATCTGAGAATCCAGCTCCCTGCCGGCTGGGATCTCACTCATTCTGCAACAGCAAACCCTGGGCGAGGCGGGCGAGCCACCCGAAAGTTCCAATGCTTTACGAACCAAATCCATTGAAACACCTGCCGCAATACCACTTGTGACGCTCGTGTCGTCGCAGGGTCACATCCAGCAGTGCATGTCCCTCGATGCGCCTCTTCAGAGTCCACTGGCCATCGAAGTAGAGGAGTTCAACCCATCACGAAAGGACAACAAACAGCAAGTGAGTCGGACTTTCCCGTGATCTGGGGCCGATGTGCTTTCGATTTGATTTGCACTTATGAATCTTCTCATGATGACCAGGCAGATGGAGATGATGGTGGTGATGGACATCGCGGTTACTCTACAGAAAACGAGATGGGTGATTGTGACAGCTCATGGCTCGTCCCTTGAGCATCCAAAAAAACCCAAAGGCGACTCCCCCGTCGGTTCGTCCCAGCGGCGGCGCAACTCCCGGGGTCGCGCTGAGCCAGAGAGCGCTGGTGCAGGCAGCTCCTGTGCAAAGGCTGTGCAGGCCAGGGAATTTGAGGGCTCAGGGCTTCAAGGCTCGAAGGATTTAGACTTAGGGGTTTTGGAGTTGAAGTGCTTCGGATGTAGGATGTAGGACTTCGATTCCATCTAGCTCTTGCAATCTCAACTTCTGGGGGTCTGTGGTTCCATTCGCATCTTGACACCTCGCTTGGAAGCGCCTCCTCATGGCAGGCCACGAAGCCCTTCTCCAACTCGGGACGGCCACGGATTTTCGATATCGGGTGTAAGGCTGAAGACTTCTGGGGACTGTGCCGAAGGCTCTTTGACTCTAGCCCTGTCTCGAAGGATGGCGTCGTTGCTAACCACAGGAACAACACTAGTATCGTTGCCGACTCTCCCGTTTGAGCCATGCCTTTTCCCTGCTTGAGCCATGCAGGCTTCAGACTATCTTGTTGCTGCTGTTGTGGATCTGTCAGTAAGAACCTGCCTTACTGACATATGGCGGTGCTGGCAAACAATTGAGCCCACCGCCGGTTCTGTGAAGGGAGGGTTCCAGGCACTTGTGTACAAGTACTGGTAGTATATACACGCAGAAAACACTGTAACAACCCAAAAATTGTAGTTGTCGAGTATTTATGCGACTTTTTTACAGAACACCTCATGCATGCAAAGTAGATATAAATCTGCAACCGAATTTCGGTTCAAAATTACACGAAGTTGCATGAGATTATGCATTCCGAAAGCCAAAACAACTTGGAAGATTTTGCAGTCTTGCTGCTAACACCTTCAAGAGAATCGTGTTTTGATGTTTTTACTGTTGTATGAAACAGATAACTACATAATGTTATTCAAAGCAACATCCTAGCTTCTGTGCGAGCGACTGTCTTTCTCGCAGCGACTGGTGGTTCTGCTGGCGTGCTGAGCTGCGCAGGTCAAAACTGGGTCTGACGCGGTTTCTTTCTTTCAGGATTCCCAGAAAAAGGTATCCAGCATCTTGCCCGTGATATCCCACATGTTGCGCCTACAAAACCAGAACTCAAACTGAGCCACCCGGATTTTACGGATGTGCTTGTTTTTGTTTGCATTGTTTGTTGGTTCCTCGAATAATTGCTGTTACCAAATTTTTCTTCTATAAGATCCATAACGGAACATATTATACATACATAATGTGGGTAGTTATTCTACATCTTCTTTGCATTTCCTTAGCAGGAAAGTCTTACAAGCATAGGCATTTCTGGGGAAAGCGGCTCCCTTTGTTTTGAGGGGAAACAGCTCACTTTTATATACTACTTCGTCACGACTCGCACGTCTAAAAATCTTAAACCTGAGGTAGCCTTCGTCATGCCTGTCTAGATGCTATACAAGTTGTCTCTAGGCTTACCGCCCTTAGAGTGTCCTACAGGACATGCTGCTTGGGCTTTAGGCCCCTTGTTTCAGCCTTCATGGCTGCCTCGGAAGAGGGTTCCAAACCACACACCAAACCCATTCCTAAACCTGCAGTCACGTGGGGTTATGTCCTTTCATCACTGCGCGCAAGAACAAAAACAATGATAACAATGTCAATAACAGTTATGATAATACTAGTAACGGTTGTCATAGTAGTCAAAGCAGTAATCGTAGTCATAGTAGTCATATTGGTTATAGTAGTTATAGTAGCAAGTGTAGTAGGAGGGGTAACGCTAGGAAGCAAGTGTAGTAGGAGGGGTAACGCTAGAAATAAGAGCAATGATCATAATTCCATAGTAGCCATCAAATAAGACCTAATAACAATGACAAAACTAGTAACAACTCTAATAATAGTGCTACCGCACCCATGAGCCCCAAACCCTAGGGCGACGGCGACGCTGGGCCAGCACTTTTCAACTCTCCGCACAGGCCGCCTCAGCTCCACCTCAGCAGGCTGCTTGACAAGGTCCAGAATACACGGGGTGCTTAGCGTTTCGGGCTTCAGGGTTGAACCGACCATGGGCTTTTGATGCGACTGCAAGAGTCTTGAGTCTCTGCTGCTGCATGCAAGCGTATACCGTCGGCCGCTATCAATTAGCATAAGGTCTTCTACACTGGTGTATATGTACATACGTACATGCATACGTTCGTATACATAATATCATCCATCCGTGCCTTCAGACGTAAAGTACAGAAGCTGTGCCGAGATCGGTGCCGCCTCAAGCGGTGCGCCGTTTTTTCGGGGCCTGGCGCACACTGCACGAGCATCTAGCTCGGAGCTTCCCTCAAACCTCGGAGCCCCAAGAAGCCTAAACGCACAAGAACCTGAATCCTTGCTATAGCATCTTCCTCTGTTGTCATGCGAAGCTACGCAGAGTGCCACTGCAGCAAGGCTGGGGGGCTCTCGCCCTGAGACTTGAATTCGGCAGTTCCGAGTTACACGTTTTCCATGTGATAAAAGCCTGATCAAGCAGTAAGACTGGTTCTACGGTTGCCTCATCAAGTACGCAGGTTTCCTCTTTTCACTTGTGGGTTTCTGTGTCTCAAAAAACCCTAACCGCCAAAGCCCGAAGCTAAAGCCCTGAGCCGAATGCCTCTCAGCACCCCATGTGCGCACTGCGTACTTCTCACTGCAGGTGCCTTGTGATTGTTGGGTTGGCTTTGCTGCCTCTTCTTCGCGCCCTTCCTCCAGAGCGGCAGGGAATTCTGCTGTCGATCATGGCTGATATTGTAAATAAACGGTTGCAGTTTCTCAAGTCATCGTTGTCGTAACCGTTTGTCATCGTCGCAGCAGTCATCTGATGATCGCACTATTGCCGGTGGCAATGATGGCTGAAACGCTTCCATGACGAGTGGCAATACGACAATGACCACTGTAGTAATCATCATGATGTTCATCATAATGCAAGACTGAACCGCAAACAAGGATTCGGGACTCTGGAAATAATGCTTCTGTATTCTCAACCACGCTATTCTCCCCAGAAACACATTCCTCACTTGTTCCCCTGGTGTGGCCCCGCTTGTGCCCGGGCTCCCATGATTTCGTGGTTTTGGGGCAAGACGGATGAAGGGAGGGAGCGGCTCCCATCGTTCGTGGGTTTGGTGCAGAACAGGCAATGAAGCGTGGGCTTGGGGCAAGACGGGCAATGAAGTGGCTTTTGGGCAAAACGGGCAGTGAAATGATGCAGTGAAGGAAGGGAGTGGCTCCCTGCATTGCGTGGTTCTGATCTGTCCAAACTTCCCTCAGGTCTGCCCGCGCAACTCGTTGTGATTTCAGGGATGGCGGCCCGGGGTATGGGGCACCAGGAAGGCCGAGCACGGGGGAGCAAACGAGGCCCCAATCAGGGGCACAGATGAGGGGTGAACCGGCACTTCTCAACTTGTCAACCCTTGCAAACCTAGTCCCTAAACTCGATTAACACTAAGCGGAGCCTCTGAGCCAGGACCTTGAGGCCTTGCAGAGTGCCAAGGATCCCATCCTCCACACCTGCTGCAAGCAGAGGAGTTTCAGGTTAAGGGGCTTGAACTTTGCGGTTATCCGTGCGGGAGTGGCTCAAGGCTTCAGGCTTCGGGGTTTAAGGCTCTATAAATATCAAATATATAATATATGTATAGATAGATAGATAGATAGAGCTGTGCTGCCCCAGCCTTGCTTGGTGTAGCCGCCCTCGAGCATGAGAACCTAAAGACGACGCCGGATTGCATACGGTCCCTTGTAGGGTTCTCGAACGATTCATTCCGGCTTCCAGGGCTTTTGGGATAGACTCGGATGGTTGGGTCCAGGGTTTTGGACATGAAGAGGCTTTCTGCTTGGAAATTCAATAGCATCGGCCCTCCGGCCCTCCTTCAACGAAGGCCGGCTGCCGGCTCATCACTGCGAGAAAGAAGCGAAGCGAAGCGACTGCGAAGTCTCAGGTCTCCGCCATCGGGGCCTTCTCCGGCAGCCTCCGCAGGCCAAATGGCGGCAGATGCAGCAGAAGAGGCTCTGGCTCTGTGGCGCCTGGTGAAGTTGGCGAAGAAGGCCTCGTAGTGAACCCGGGAGATCCCGCGGCCGACCTCCGCGGGCGGCTGTAAGCTCTCCCAGTCAAAGTCCCCCCAAACCTGGCCTTCTTATCGGAGATCTCTGCCTCCTTCTGGTGGAGATCGAAGCCCAGGCCGACGAAGAGCCCGTCGGGTTGGAAGCTCGTCATCTCCTCGAGGCTTTCAGAGCAGTGGCAGTGCTTCCAGGGCCGGAATTCACTACCGGAAGAAAGAAATGCACCAATGGCAAAACAGCAACAAGAAGATTCGGAGCTGAAACGAGCGCCACGAGAAGCACAGCAAGTCTACGGCGACTCTGCCTTGTCAAGAGTATTGCACCACCGCTGATATCTTGTGATCAGCCCTTGGTTGGCGCTGCTCGCCGTGCCTGCGTCAGACTAGCTCGCGCCATAAAAGAAAATTAAACAGATGCTGTCGTAGAAGGCAGCCACGTGCGCAGTACTGTGCAATCCCAGCAGATTTCCAATCCCACACGCGGACCCAAGAAGCGACGGCACCTTGTGTAACACTCCGAGGCAGAAGGGTGTCCCTCACTCGAACCTGTTCGTGTTGCGGAACACAGGGAAGAGGGGGGTCCCACGAACTTCAGTTGAGGGTCTACCAAACCCCCAAAACCCCCGAAACACCCTACACGGCCCCCCTGCTAACTTGGGGGGCCGCCGGGCCGGGCTTGCGCTCTCCGGACTTGGGTCCCAGAGCGGGATTTTTTCTTGTTCTTTCCTGTTTTTTACCTGTGGAGACCGGTCGGGGTCGCGTTGTAGGGCTTTGAGGCTTCGCTTTCCGGGGCTTCCGGCGCCTAAGTTTCTCGATGGGTTGGCGGTGGCGGCACAGGTGGGGGGGTGCCCCTGCTTTGCCACTTATGAAGCCAGCAAACAGAGGGCATAGGCAATCCTACATGTTTTTGGTGTAGGACCAGACATCCGCAGAACCGCAGAATGAAGAGAGTAGACCAGTTCAAACTCTGGGGCCGCGGAAGGATTCAAGCTCCGCACTCTGGGGAGCTGTGCCTCGAAGGACCTCTTGAGGTTCTGCTTCACCGAGTGCCAGCTGGAGCCCTGGTTCCTTGCGGAGCTTCGGGCCGGGCAGGGTAAGGGAAGAAAGGTGAAACTAGGCGCGGATGCCTATCTTCTCGCAGAGCTGCGGCTAAGTCTTTTAGCTATCGTTGTGTGCCGTGTACGCAACACGATCATGCTACATCCGGAATTCCACGAAACTCAGAGGGTAATCATGTTGCTTCTGCGCAATCCTATTAAGCTTGGGAAACCTTTTCTTAATTGATGCCCCACACACCCCGCAGCCAGGCATTCAGCCCTCGGCGGATAGCCATCGATGTGGATGGAAGAAAACAGGATACCTTCGGGGTCGTTCCATGTCATGCTACCCAACATGGGTGGCCGTTTTGAGCAAAATCTGTTTAGACCGCATAGCTTGAAGGGATGCCTTATCTAGAACAAGCCCCGACATGAGAACTGAGGTTATCTTGGTCAGCTCGGGCAGGGCAGTTGTGCAGTTTCTGCCTGTGCAGGAGTTGCGCTTGCCAATGAGGAAGTCGCGCTGATCCTCTCTTCGAGAGAGTGTTGTCACGTTGCGCTAATCAGATTAGACAACCCGAACTGCGAAACGAGAGTTTTGGGGAACTTTCTACGAATAGTTGCGACGCCAGCAGGTACAAGACTGATGATGTTTCTTCACGCACTGGTGCATCGGGCGATTGGCTGGGCTGACAGAGTGAATTTTCGGGCTCGGGGTGCGGCTTGGAGGCCAAGAAGCCCCTAGACCAAAAACTCTGACCTGGAGATACACTGTCGGGGAAGGCAGCAGCCGTCCTTCTTGAGCTTTGAGAAGTGATCGACCTCCTTCCAAACCTGGCTGGGGCACCAGGCTCAGCATCACTGGTCTTGGAGCACCCCTGAACCCGCGACCCCGAGCAAAGTACTTCATCCCAAGTAACTCCTCCCAAGTCCTGAAGCGTTTAAGGAAACGTCGGGTTTCTCCAGCACCGTCTTGACCGAGGCACTCCGTCGGGCATGTGCGCGTCGATGTCGACATATGCCAGTCGCTTTGCATGACCCTCGCATCACTGGGCATTTGTGATGGACATGTGAAGGCATCAACACAAGGACCCTAATTGCCCTAGACCCCCGGAGAAGATCCACGGCTTCACGCTCTTCCAGTCTCTAGTCAGGCCCCGCTTGGCAACTTGTAGGACTTTTGCTAAACGACATGATTCCGACCACGTGATGCCGGAGGGAGCTGATGCACATCTTAAGGGTGACGCTGGCTTCTGTTGTTGTATTGCTGCTACGGCTACAGATCTTCAAGGCATGCACGCGAACACGAACACGGCCGAAATCCCAAGCAGCGGCCATCTTGGAACACTCCCCAGTCCGTCGGATACGCTTTCGAAACGCGGGTGCTGCGCAAGCCGTCGGCAAAGATCCTCTTCGAAGAGCACATATTTGTTGGACCCGCTCAAGGCACCCACCGCTCGGCAACGGCCGGCGACTGCGTGAAAGAAAAAGGCAGCACACACGGACGCCCCAGCGGGAAGAGATCGTCTGCCAGGAGGTCCGGCGGCCCCGGCCGCTCCTCGCTGCTGCGTCGCACTGCGCTCCACTCTGCATCGCGGATCGGGATCGGAGCGGTGCCCCTCTTTCTAGGGCCCCAGAGAGGAGGGCTTGGGCTTGTCAGCGAGTATCCTCTCGGTCTGTGGTCGCTGTCGCTGCCTTCGGGGTGAATGCTGGACATCGGCATGTGGCTCTTTGCGAATTGTGACGCGGAGAACACTAGTGATATGAGGATCCGGATCCCAGATGGTTTCGGTGCTCGCTTGCTGAGCTCGGAAGCCACTTGACGAGAGGCTGCCACCGTCAGCACGACATCCACGTCTTCTTGGGCACCGTCATCGTCAGCAGCGGTCACTCTCGACGGCGGCGCGAAGTGCACAGACAGCGCGGGGCTTGATTTCAAAACCCAGGCAACAACACCTCGCCTCGCAACCAGCACCACGCGGGGCACTCGAATCGAGAATCAGCAGTTCTGCGCGGTCGCCAGGGGGGTGGCTTGCTGGGGCCTTGAACCTCAGAGCTCAAAGAGCCCCCCCAAAGAAGCCCTCTCTCTCTGCTCGGCCCGGCCTTGCGGAGGCTGTGCAGCGCGGCGAGCCACACGGAGGGGTAGAAGCAGCCGCCGCCCAAGCTGGCGCCTGCCCGCCAGGCCCGAGTGCCCCAGAGAGCCCCAGAGCCGAGAGCCGAGGCGCGAGCAGCTCCCGCCCAAGGCCCCAGAAAAAGCCCGTGCCAGCGAGGCGCCGTGCCCGTCTGCTCTCTTCTTCTGGGGAACTTTGCCCGCTCGGCACTCGCTTAGCGAGGCTCGTCAAAACAAAACCCAGGACCACAGAAGGAGAAAACCCCCCGTAGCTGCCTGGAAGCTGTCCGCAGGGAGCCCGCCAGGTGTCGCCAAGCCGAAGGTCGTGGCCGCAGGTGGCGTGGTGGCCTCAAGAAATTCAACGTTCAGAGTGTCGAGATCTACCTTTAGCAACTAGACAGGCAAACCCACAGACAGACATACTCTGGGTTTTGTAGGCCGTGTCAAAGAGCGACACGCAGGAGTTCATAGACATTGAACGCAGCTTTAGAGCAAGCGTTGTGGCAGTCGACCTTTGGGAGTCACATGGCTCTATAACGAGGGGTCTACAAGGGGCTTAGGCTTCAGGGGTTCAGGGCTCCTGGGAAAAGTGCTGAAGGCATGCGGGAACCCCTCCCGGTCTGATCTCTTCAGCATTTAGTGTGGCAGCGGGTCCGAAGCTTTGACGGGTTTAGGTTTAGGCGTCGAACACTTGCAGGCAAGGTGGCTGTTTACTTGCACACCCCGCAGATGCTCCAATCATCACTCGACAGCCGCTTGGAAAACAGCTCGCCCCTCACCTTGAACTTGAACCTCTGCTCAAAAGCTGAATCAGAGTATATGCTGTGTTCGTACGGAATGCAACAAATCTGTGAAAGCTGTTCTGCACCATGTCAACATGAGCAATGCCGAACCTTAAATTCCCAAAACATCCCTACAGCCAACACGACGAGGGCAGCGACGGCTCTGGGAGCACGGCCGGGAGGTCGGCCGAGCACAAGGACTGGCACGCCCGCCTCGAAGCACGAAGCGTCTTGAGCCGGCGCTGGGGTTCGTAGGCGTTTACCGTTAGGAGGCTCGGGGCTTGAGGTGCTTTTGCACTCCTGTCTGGAGGATAAAGCACCCAAGGAACGCCGCCTTGGCTTCAGAGCGGCGAGCTACAACAGCTAGTTTCGGCATCATAGCAGAGAATACGGGCCACAGCGATATCGGTTTCAGAACCATCAAGGCAAGGGCCCAAGGGTCATAAGTCTTGCTGAAAGCATGCAAAGCGTTTCTGGACCTCGTTGTCATCCTAACCTCGCGCAGACCGTAAGCATCTTGCTTGGAGATTTGATCAAGACTCTCGTCCACAGAATGACTTAGGTTTGTTCCGCTTATGTTGCTTCACTATTGGTTGTGGCGTCACATCAAGCTGCTCGGACGAAAATATGATTTCTGTCATGAATGAAAAGCAAACAGAAGTCGTCACAAACTTCCAATTGTAATTGGTCCGCTTGGTCAAATTCTGGCAACATTTCCTCAACAGCTGTTGGAATCGCCAAAGGCCTGCTCGTGATTCATATGTTTCATGCTCTGTGGTCAACTGCACGAAAAAATCGTTGCGTCCCGACTCTTCAACTCTTCAGCCTTGACTTTCCGCGGTCGACTCCTTCTCTGTCGCCATTCCGCCTGGGTTCGTGCAGCCCGGCCTTTACCGACAAGTCTGTGGCAAAGACAGCGGCGACAAGCATGGCCTCCAACATGCGGCGGTGGAGCTGGAGCTTTTTCGTGTGGGGGTGGGGCTTCAGGGCTCCAGGGACTTTAGGGTGTATAGGGCTCTCCAGCCTGAGGTCTCCGGCGTTGGGCTTTAGCGCTTAAGGCTGCAGGTTGACTTCGACTTGGAAGCTCAACAGAATAGCTCTATGAAATCCCGAAATCATAAAAAATCCGGCATCCTTGGACGAGACGCCGAAGAGGAGTACGGAAAAAAAGACTTCAATGTCCTTGGTCATACAACAACGCTACCGTCTCAACAACGGTTCAAGGTATGCTTCCGTCTTGGGACCCCCAATAGTCGTAGCTCTTGAGGCAAACATGCAACAGTTCTGGTGTGCTCCCTGAGGCCAGAACCCTCACTCGAATCTCTGGACGTGCCTCCCGCCTCGGGAAAACCTCTTGAACTCGCAAGCACAAAACTGCATATGATACTCGTCACCAGTCGCTATAGTCACTAGTCATGAGAAAAAAGATCACGAGCAGAGAAGATGGCGCTCAAAAGTATCATACACCAGCAGTGCAAGGACGGGCCGGTACTTGTACCGGCAGAGACGGCCGAGGCCGGAGCGGAGAGTTCCCCCCCTAAGAAAGCCTGGGCTTTGAGGGGTTTTGGAGCCAGAAAAAACCTTACCTTTGGTTAGGTTTGGGAGTAGTAATAGTAGTTATAAGTTATAACTGTACCCCATTCCTCCATTCCCTACTAACCAAAGGTAAGAAAAGAGGAGCCCTTGGGAGCTGCGACGGCCGGGACGCGCCTCAGCAGCCCTGCCGGCGCTGCCCGCGTCCTGCGCAACGCGGCGCTCCCAACCGCCATGAAGTGTAGGGGTTTTTCGTCCCCCCCTAACCATTCCGAAAGTCTCACATGGAACGAACACCTGAAACAAGAAACAATCGCCACCAGGTCTTTCCGGCCTGATTAAGGCTGCAGGTGAATGCCCAGGCAATGCATGCGGCTTGGGTCGCAGACATTCGCAAGATCGGAGTTCCGACACGAGTCAACACTTCGAGTCTGGGATTCCGGAACTCCGCATCGGGGTCGATTCTGCGCTTCGGATCCCAACTAGCACAGAGTCACTGCTGCATTAGGCAACTACTCCTTCGTCATGTGCGCACTTCTGGCGATTGTTGCCGACAAACCTGGTTGCAGCATTCAAACCCTCGTAGGAAGGGCTTCGAAGGTGGAAAGCCGCCCAGTCCTTCATCCAGAGGCTGCATGCACTTTGCACCATGTTCGTGTCCTGCGACAAGGTCGTAGCAGTAGTCGTCGTAGTCGTAGTCGTCGTCGTGGTAGTTGTTGCGTTGGTAGCAACAGCAGCAGCAGCAGCAGCAGTAGCAGTACAGCAGTCGCAGCAGTCGTCGTAGAACAAGAAGAAGAAGTAGAAGTAGAAGTAGAAGTAGAAGTAGAAGTAGAAGTAGAAGTAGTAGTAGTAGTCGTCGTCGTCGTCGTAGTAGTAGTAGTAGCAGTAGTAGTAGTAGTAGTAGTAGTAGTAGTAGCAGCAGCAGCAGTAGTAGTAGCAGTAGCAGTAGCAGTAGCAGTAGCAGTAGCAGTAGCAGTAGCAGTAGTAGCAGTAGTAGCAGTAGAAGCAGTAGAAGCAGTAGAAGCAGTAGAAGCAGTAGAAGCAGTAGTAGCAGTAGTAGCAGTAGTAGCAGTAGTAGGAGTAGTAGGAGTAGTAGTAGTAGTAGTAGTAGTAGTAGTAGTAGTAGTAGTAGTAGTAGTAGTAGTAATAGTAGTGGTAGTGGTAGTGGTAGTGGTAGTGGTAGTGGTAGTGGTAGTGGTAGTGGTAGTGGTAGTGGTAGTGGTAGTGGTAGTGGTGTGGTAGCGGTAGTGGTAGTGGTAGTAGTAGTAGTAGTAGTAGTAGTAGTAGTAGTAGAAGTAGTAGTAGTAGTAGCAGGAGGAGTAGTAGTAGTAGTAGTAGCGGCAGCAAGTGCCGCAGCAGAGGCAATAACTACGAATGCAACCGCCAGAACTCCTTCACTCCACCTGCGCGGGGACCTTCGACGACGTGCATGCCTCGGCGGGAGACTTGGGTCGCGCAGTCGAGACCCAAATAGGAGTTTCCGAAAATAGGGGACCCAAATGGTACCCGAAACAGTAGGATCGACCCCAACACAAGGTACCCTAATTTGCGGAAACTCCCAAATCTGCAAGAAACAGAACCGCCCCCCCTCCCAATCAGGTAGAGTTCCCTGAACGCTTTTAGGCCCAACCCCACAGGTCCACGCAAGGAAAGGCGAGAGAAAACAGGCGCGCAAAAAAATGCGGCGCCGATCTGAGGCAACCCAGGAGCGCTTGTGCATCACTTGGCCGTAGCTGCCCAGCTTGGCTTCGATGTTTCCTGGCGAAGGAAAGTTCCCGTCGATCAAGATCAATAGGGGCTCATGGGGGGCGTAGGATGGTGAAGTTTTGGGGGATCTCGGACGAAGTCCCAACAGGAGCTAACGGCGACAAGGTCATAGCTTCGCGAATTTTCTTGCATCAAGAAGAACATCTCTGATTGCTTGCTCGCCCCTCTTGCTTTCAAGGGAAAAACGGAGAACGTCCTCTCATGGTCTTCGGGGCGTCCTTGGCCCAGGTCCTGAGGCCCAGGAGCTTAGTGTGGTAGTCGTAGTAGTCGTGGCAGCAGCGGTTGGTAACAGTAGCAACCATCGTCATCACCACAACTTCGAGAAGTGTCATCAGGACACCAGAGTGCTTTATCGGTCGCCAGAGCAATCAGCAGAGCAAGCAGAGGATTGTCCGTAATCGTAATGGACGAGGCGCCTCGAGTTCCGCACTTCAAACCGAGCCCCTGGCTCTGAGGATACTTTAAAGGGTCCCTGTTGCGGCCTCGATACAGGCTATAAACTACCCGAAAACCTGGAGGCCTGAGAAAGACTCGAACCTTCGCCAAACCCTGAACGGCAAACTACTGATAATGACTGCAGCGACTGAGGCTGCAGGATTGGGGCTTCAGGTTGGGGAAGGTTGGTTATCGCCCTATGTTCCTCTGCGCCAGAGCATGAAAACATAATGTGCAAAACCACCTCGCTCGACGAGTCATCGCGGGTAGCGATCGAATGCACTCGCTCTGTGCAAGAGTGTGGGCAGCAGCGATTTCCGTGAAAAGGCCCCAAGACCCAAGCAAGACTCAGATGCAATTCACGAACGAGCCCGGGCACGATTGACTTGACCACGTGCTGTTTCACGTGCTCAGCTACACCCTTATCGCCCCCCGTCATTTCCACACTTCCATACACCATCATACGCATACGCCCATCGGCAGCTTCACAGCGCGGCAGTGGCTCACAGTGGACCGGACGGTCTGGGGCTGACCACGTGAAAAACTGCCGAGCGTCTTCGCCAAGCGCGGGAGGAGCCTAGCTTCGCAGGCTGAGGAGTAGTTAGGGCCCTTAGGGGTTTAGGGTTTAAGGAGCTTCTCAAGACTAAGCTGCCATGTAGCCCTCCGAGCTGAGCAGCAAGCATGGGTACTGGCAAGAACACTCAAGTCATCAAAGATTCAGGTTGCAAGACTGCCAACACGGATGGCAACTGTACGTTGACAGATGGACAGCAATCAGACAACCTAACCCCTAAGCCGAAACTTTAAACTCCACTCCCTAAGCCCTAATAGACAGAACCGCTGAGAGGAGGGAACTCTCGCTTGGAGGACTCCCTGTAGAACCTTGCCAAGGCCTCTCGGCAGCCATCCGAGAACGCCGTAGGAGCTCGACGAGTATGGAGCCCACCTGCCGAAGGCCCGCATTCCGCTCTAGTGGGTAGGCTTTCTTGAAGATTCCGTTTCCGGGGCTCCAGTGGGGCGGTTAGGGCGGGTTTGAGGGAACTGGAAAATATTTGGAGGCTTCCGCCTCGCACCTTCCACGCCTACGCCCACTCCTACCACTACGAGTACTGACGGAGAACTCGTCTGCCGTCCAGCACAGCCTCGAACTGCGACTACGACAGTATAGAAACAGCGCTACAGGCTTAAGCTGTGCTCTCGCCAAATCTTGACGACCTCAGCGGCTTTGCGATTTCGGTCTGTTCCCCACCGACTTCTGTAGGGGACTCACCTTACATCAAGCACGCAGGGATAGAAAAAACAGGGCAGTGGTATTGCAGTGGTCGTTGCATTCCTGGGCACGGAGCTTCGGCTAAGGCGTAGGCTTCGGACTCAAGAGAAGGACGTCCAAGCTCTGTTTCGACTGCGCCGACTGAACGTTCCTCAGCTGATCCTGCACATTAATTAACGATTTCGCCGCCTCGGCCAGCACTACCCCAGTTCACGACGCATCCATCGTCACGAATGGCAACAAAGGCACCGGAACGACGCCAAAACGATTGGATCTGCTGCACATTCTTCAGCGCCTTATGAACAGCACCGCTGTCACCACCATACTCAGCGTAACCCCAGGTGACGACCGATCCATCACCAAGAATAGCGGCGAAAGCGCGATGAGTGGCTTGGATTTGATGCACATTTTTCAGTTGGTCCTGCACAGCCCTGCTGTCACCACCAGTAAGAACGAAGCCCCAGGTCACGACAGATCCATCGTCGAGAATGGCAGCAAACGAGCATAGAGATGCCTGGATCTGCTGCACATTTTTCAGTTGGTCCTGCACAGCCCTGCTGTCACCCCCAAACTCGGCGTCACCCCAGGTCACTACACATCCATCGCCAAGAATGGCTGCAAAAGCGCAGGCACCGGCTTGGATCTGCCGGACGTTCCTCAGCTGATTCTGCACAGCGCTGCTGTCACCACCGTGCTCAGCGTAACCCCAGGTGACGACCGATCCATCACCAAGAATAGCGGCGAAAGCGCGATGAGTGGCTTGGACTTGATGCACATTTTTCAGCTGATCCTGCACAGCGCTGCTGTCACCACCGTACTCAGCGTAACCCCAGGTGACGACCGATCCATCACCAAGAATAGCGGCGAAAGCGCCATAAGTGGCTTGGATTTGCTGCACATTTTTCAGTTGGTCCTGCACAGCCCTGCTGTCACCACCAGTAAGAACGAACCCCCAGGTCACTACAAATCCATCGCCAAGAATGGCTGCAAAAGCGCAGGCACCGGCTTGGATCTGCCGCACGTTCCTCAGCTGATCCTGCACAGCGCTGCTGTCACCACCGTACTCAGCGTAACCCCAGGTGACGACCGATCCATCACCAAGAATAGAGGCGAAAGCGCCATGAGTGGCTTGGATTTGCTGCACATTTTTCAGTTGGTCCTGCACAGCCCTGCTGTCACCCCCAAACTCAGCGTCACCCCAGGTCACTACAAATCCATCACCAAGGATGGCAGCAAAAGCGAATTGATTGCTTTGGATCTGGTGCACGTTCCTCAGCTGATTCTGCACGGCGCTGCTGTCACCACCATGCCCAGCATCACCCCAGGTCATCACCGAACCGTCGCTGCGGATGGCAGCGAAAGCACGTGCAGTGCCACATACCTGCACTTGGCCTACGGACAGAGTCAGCGAGTCGCCATCCTGCAGCCTGGAAGTCTTGATCTGCGCGCATCCATCCAGAAGACCTCCGGATGAGTCCAGCAGCCGACTTCTCCCAACTCCGAGAAGAGATTGTGCCCGACGTTTCAGTCTTCCGACCGTCTCCTCCAAGCCTGCCCTGACAGTAGCTGTCCGTCCACTAAGCAGTCCAACTTCCACAGTAATCGACATGGATCACTCAACGGTGCGGTAGGGGTTTTCGAGTTTCCAGCTGCAACATTCGGGACGGAAACTTCATTACATCTGGCCGGAAGAATGAGTGTCTCATCGCTCAGATCACTTAGCTTAAGTTCGGCATGTCAGAGGCCACACGACATGAAACAGTGAGGTTCAGGGTCTGAGCTTCATGGCTTCAAGTCTCAAATAAACACTTGGGAGGATTTAGGATCCTAATCACTGCCAGCAGTTCCCACATCATCCGAAGGACCTGGGCTCGGCTCAGGAGTCTCACGCAGGGATCATAAGGGAACGCTATACTACTCCGACCCTTAGAGGCGAGAAAACTGTAGGGCTGGCTCTCGAAACTAGTTAAGCATACACTGAGCAGTAGGTATCACTTACTTGACGTCACAACTGTTGTAGGGAAAGTGTTGTGCAAGGGCCAGACCTGAGCAGCACCAAAGTAGAATTGAGTACCGTCGCAATGTGGCAGACGGTCCGTGCTGATAGGACACGATAGTCGCAGTAGCAGCTATCGTCCAAGGAAACGCTGTGGTGTAACATGTTGCTCACCCCAAATCGGGTGGGCCTGAATCGTTGCAAAACGGGCTTGGGGAAGATTGTACGAAAGTTATATCGGGCCTATACAAGGGGAAACAAGTACAAAGTACTCAAAGCCCTCTGGTTCATGTCAATGTAAGATCTAGAGCCAGCCTCCGATTGGAGTTGGAGACCGTGCTTTCCGTTGAGCGTGTTTTCCGAGACGTTCACGGACCTTGCTGGGTTTCGGGCTCCGGCTTTCGGCTTCCGAACGTTAGGATCGGCCGTTTCTTGCGGAAGCCAAATGGGAGTTTCCGAAAATAAGGGACCCTAATATGGTACCCTAAATAGTAGGATCCTTATTATAAGGACCCCAAAATAAGGTACCCCAATTTTCGGAAACTCGCAAATTTAAGATGGCAAGGGGAGTTGAGCTCTGGCTTTCTTGGGATCCGTGCTCTTGGCCTCTGAGGAATGACGAACGCCTGTGGATAGCTCGCAAGACTACGTTGAACTTAGAACCCTAGCAAAAATTATAATTTTAGCTGTTTCTTAGGGATCATAATAACCAAAAATTAAAAATTATTTCTAAGTACCCCTAAGAAGAGGGGACGAACGAACCGCCCCAAACCGTACTAAACTGTTGAAATAAGGGGCTCAGTCACACGGAAGCACAGACCAAACTACCTAAACCCTCAAACTTCCAGCCGAAACCCAAAACATATCAGCTCCGGGCAGAAACCGAAGCTTCACGCCGGACTTTCGCGCTGCTTCCCAGGCCCAGCGGACGCGCGTCTGAGCTGCGTGAAGGTTTACGTTGTTTGGTGGTTCTTTGAGGCTAGGCGGCTAGGCTTGGACAGCTTCCAGCTTCAGGTCAAAGCCACAGACAGAAGCATCGAGATGGCTCAGGTGCTGGAAGATTGCGTGGATTTAGCTGCAGCTACAAAGTTGTGTGTGTGAGCTCTGTTAACCGCAACGGGGGTCTCTGGGCTACACCTGGCACCCCAAAACCTTCCGCAGCCTTGACGTCCAGGCCGCGGCTTCCCACGTCGTGGGCCTCGTGGTCCTCCCGGAAGAACAAGACGAGCTCTGAAGAGGAAGAGCCAAAGCCCAAGTCCCGACTTTCTCTCTCTCTCTCTCTCTCTCTCTCTCTCTCTCTCTTCCTCTCTTTTAAGAGGGGCCCCCCTTTTTTTAGGCTTCAGGGCCAAGGGCACTCCCAAAGCTTGGGCCCGGCCGCGGCGGGGGCCTCCACGAGGAGGAGGATCGCCACGGCGTCGTCTTTTCTCGGACTCGGGGCTCCCATGGCTCGAAGGCTCTAATTCGATGCAGGACGTAGGCCGACGATGAACCTCTGACTCTGCCCTGTGGAGGCTGGGCTGCAAGGCCCGAAAGGCACTTTGGATCTCGGGGCTTCCCCACACGCGCACGGCTTCCCAACGCTTCACCTGTCATCTCGAAGATCTCAGCAGTGTTGTGGGGTTTCAGGCTTCAGGGGCTTTCAAGCTCAGAGTCTGGGCTTCAAGGTTCACGGGGTTCACGGCTCTGGTGTTGGGGCTTCCCAAGACTTGTCCTACCATCTCACCTCCCGAGCCTGCATCAGAGCAACACCCACGGACCCACCGCAAATCCACGGTGCCGAGGAGTCTACAGAACCCTTTGAACCCTCAACCCGGTTAAATGCACTGGCGAGCCACAGGTCACAGAGACCTCGACAAACTTCATCAAGAGGGCATCAAGCGGTTTTGAAGCATGGGTTTCAGGAGCACTTGATGGAATTGATATCAATTCTGATCACCCCCAGCCGGCACACGCAGTTGCAGGGCAGCCGAGTCGGGCCAGGCACCCGAAAGATGCCACGAGGAGCGGCCGGATGAAGCTCAGTCTATTCCGCATCCGGGTTACAATCTCCGCAGCGTCTCTTTTCAGCACAAACTTTGCATGGGGAAGACCTGAGTCTTGTCGCTTCGGCGGTGGAGCATCGCTTTGCCCGCTCTGCCGCCTTTTTGAGGAAACCAGTTAAACTTGTTTCCACTTGTGCAGCACCACTGAATCAAGCAATTCTAGATTTTCGGGCCGTGTTTCTGGGTGTCCTCACAGGATTCGAATCGCTTTCATGTACCCCAGTCTCTGTCCATGGTGCTGACTCCAGCATGAAGAGGTCTGTCCATCCCACGTGATGGAAAAGGTTATCCAGCCGTCCATGTGAAGCAGAAAACTAGAAAACTGTCCGTGCGGTGTTTATGATGCCTTTGGATGCTTCACAGGGTTCGTTGTGCAAGGCAATGTATTGCAAACTTCAACCACCACCTCAAAAGCTCTCCGGCCACGGCCTGACGGTACACTCACAGTGCACTCACACCACAGAAGGCTGGCGTGTTGGCACCTGATCAGACGCACTTGACGCCGACGATCTTCTCTTCTCCGCAAGCGGCTTGCACAGTCACGAAGATCTGCTTTTCTCCTGAACAGACTTGGCGGATCGCCCGGTCCTGTCCCCTTGCTCATATGCTAAACCCAAAGCCATCCGAACCGGCGACGCCTTTGGCAAACTCGTCACAGATTTCCGCCTTCATCTTCTCGTCCTCAGCGATTGACCGCTGATTGGTGAAAGCCTAAACGTCGTCGGGTGCCGGCCACTTGCCGGGACAGCCATGTTGGTTGGAAGAGGTGCGCAGGGGTTGCCACATCCCAATCCCAACTGTGACTTCAGAGATGGCTTTGCTGCAGATCCTTTAAGGAAAACGCAGGCACCAGGCCCGACAATGCAGACAACAAAAAGCAGAAACGCACGTTCACCAGGCAGTTGTTCTAAAACGCAATGCATGCATGCCGAACAATATCCATAGAACCGAGAACACACCCACCAGCTGCAAGTTCCACGATGAATGATAACTTGATAAAGCAAGCATACCGAAATGTAACATACTAGAATACGAAGGCTGATACTCCACAGCGTTCGGGAGAGGAGAAGGGTAGTCAAAACATACTCATGTTGAGTTGGGGGCTCAAGCTGGGCTGTGTGCTGTAGAAATATGTTTGCATGTCCGAATACCCAGAGAGCCAAGTGCCCCTCAGTCAAGGAATATAGCCTAAATCACAACATGAAGGACCCTTTTTCAAGCAATTCAAGGTATATTGAGGTATTGGGTTCATTGACCCAAATAAACCCTGGAATGACTTTCAACTGCATACGCACGACCGCAATTCGCTGCTGCGTCGTGCTTTTTTGGATGTTGCCAAGTCTCCTCGGGTAGGTTGAGATCGTCCTTGCAGCGTGTAAGATGAAGCTCACCAGGCAAGCTCAGCATGACGGTTCCTTGTTGTCGCCCATCTCCATCATAAGGCTTAGTTCTCCTGGCAGCAAAACATCACAAAACTATTCGCAAACAACGGATTGTGGCCGTCCTGTGTCGGCATCAGCGTTCAGCACCTCGTACTCGGTACACTTCACGAACGGCACCTCCAAGTTGTCGGAGGGGTCGCAAATATGTTCCATTCTTTTGCCTCGGCAGACGCATCACAAGCCGGCAGGACAACGAAACCTCGGAGATTGTTCCAGGACTTTCAAGATCGTCGTGAAGGCCTGTGAAGATGTCAATGGCCACGATCATGGCCTGTCCTTTCCTGGAGGTGGAGACCTCGACGCACCTTAGCCACGAAGGCTTTTGCAAGGCTGTCTTTTAGGATTTTCTGAGAATGCTTGCGGCACTGGCACTTGCACGGACGACCCTTGATCATCAGGTGCGAATCCTTTTCCACCTTGCCGGCCTGCAAGACGCGAAGCGCAAGAATGGTTCGAAGGTAACATTTGCGCGCTTCACCACTTCTTTGGTAGTGTGGGTTTTGCAACACTTTGTGCCTGCGTGCGCGCGGCACCTGCATCATCTGTCGCGGAGTCATGAGTGTCCTTCGCCGGGCAAACGGATACTTCTCGTGCCGATAACCAGCAACAGATCACAAGTCTGCAGACAAATCGGATATTTTCAACAGGAGCTTTTCGACGTCTGCAACCCAGTGCGTCCAGCTTGGCGAGGGCGGCCACGATCTTCTCTTTGTCTTCCTGCCAAGACGATGGGAAGACAGATGGTTTCAACGAAGAAAATTCCAACTCCAGATGTTTCCTTCGACAGTTCCGAAGCTATGGCGCACACCTGGCACTGGAGGACGCGCAGAAAAACACTGTGCTCTCGGCGACCATTCGTCAAAGTTGGCCTCCGCAGTAGTCGCGTCCTTCACCTTGGTCTGCAGCGCTGAACTTCCGCTGCCCATGTCGGAAATGGCAGGAGGGGCACAAATTTGCTAATCGAGCCCGCTCAAAACCCAACACGCCCCAGCACCATGTTCACGAAATCGTTGACAAAGCATGTCACCTAGGCGAATCCTACCAACATCCGATACAAAACGGAAGCCTGGAGCAGCTCGTCGTAACAAAAACAAAAGAAAACGCTACAAGTTTGGAGTTTTGTACTGTTGTTCCTTGCAGAAACAGTCTTGGTGTCAGGCTTGGCGGGTTAGGTTGACTAAACCGCTCCACCCAAAAAGACTATTCGCGAGGCTGCACTTCTCCGTTCAACCTCTGAAGCCATTCCCAGAAAGGGTCACGCGTAGTGGAGTCGAAAGCTGCCAAGCGGACGTTTGGGACACCAAAACTGATGAAGTTTGTCAGCTTCGATGCTCGACGCTATCACACGGTGGAACCGCACGAGGGCAGCATGTGGGCGCTTGCGGCTTACGTTCCGCAGGCCTATGCTCGGGCGACGGAGCAGCACCGGGAAGCGCTGCGAGGAGCTACATTTTCCGTTGCCGCAGTGGCCGATTCCGTCGGACACTTCTTGAGAAGTCAGGTTAGGCAGTGTACGATTTCGTTGTACACTGCTTGAGAAGTGCTCCATGCAGTGGAGGATGGGATCCTCCACTGCAGGTTTGTCCGATTTCGTCGTACAATTATTGACTCAAGAAGTGAGTCAATTAGGCAAGCGATCCAAGCCCCTCACGCTGTGAGCTCCTTCTTGGCAATTAAATTCTGCATTGGAGGACGGGATGCTCCAATGAAGGACTGCATCCTTCAATTTTCAAGTTTCTCACGACCTGGACCAGGAAATTGGAATTGTAGGATATTATCCTCCACTTCTCCGGGGGCCTAGTGCGGGCCCGCTGTGTGCTGGAAGTAAGGCAATCAATCCGTGCCAAACTGCTGGAGAAGCGAGTCTAGGACTGGTCGAGAAACCGGCCGGTCTATTCAGACAGCGCCAGGGAGTGATCGAGAAAACCGATCGGTCTATGAGATTCAGACATTGCCGAGAGCGCGGACCAACCAATTTTCGGTGGCTGCTTGAGATGTGAGGAATCATGGAAATCGACTTGACCGACGGAATCGGTCATATAGCACCTGTCAGTTTTTGACATATGCCATGTCTCCGTTTCGAATCGGGCAACGGCACGGACGAAAAACTCGTCCATGCCATGTCTCCGTTTCGAATCTGGCAAAGGCACGGACGAGAAACTCGTCCATGCTCTTTTCGAACACTTTTCCTGCCTTTTTGAGCAAGGTTGCAACTTCGACTGCGTTTTTGCAACACAATCGCAACGGACGACGCTAGACGCTGCGGGAATTGAGGCGGCTGAAGCATCGCCGGCGCCGGCCGGGAAACGACTGTCAAATCTGTCAAAAGTGTCAAACGGCTCGGGTATGGCGAGTACAGTTTGGGCTAGTGATGACGCTGGGGCAAGCACTGCAGTGCCCATTCAGGGCACTCTCAGTGGGGCAGTAGCCCCTTTTGACCGGGCGCTGATACCTGTCCTTCAACGGCGTGTTGCAGCCCATCTGCAAAGGGTTAATCTAGGGCCTCGCCCCTCCCCGTTCATCCCGTATGGTTGCCCTGTCACCATTCACGACCCCTTTTCGCGCGGCTCGACTTGTGAGCTTCTCACCACGAGCGTTGGCACTGGACACATCTTTGAGGAAATGCTCCGGGACTATTTTGCGCGCAGAGGTTGGCAGGTAAATGGGATACGATCCCGTGTCACCGGCAGGCAGGCCTTGAAGGAGCGTTTCCAACAGCAGGGACAGGTAAACAGCTTCCTTGGCAGCTTCAGTAAGCGCTGCCAGCTCTGCTTCCGCCGAGCTTAAGGCAGTCACTGACTGCTTCCTTGAGAAGCATTTGATCATCATTCCATGCCAAAGGACAATGGCACCCGACACTGAACACACGTTCCACGAGGCATTCACGTACCCCAAGAGCAGGGTCTCTGACTCAAAACTCGGGTCGACCCAGCCAAAAGCAGAGAAGCGCTGAAGGTACTCAGGCAGAGCCATCACCCAACGCACAACTCTTCTCAAACAGGCTTCGGCTTGGCTGTCAAGGATCACTCTGAAAACGACCTAGAAACCCAACAGGATAAGCTAGGTGAGGAAGCGTGAGACTGGCCCACATGAGCTTCCCAAGCACACGTCGGTATCTCTCGTACGACTCGGTGCTTATTGGACCTCCAGGGTCCTTCTTCCGGTACTCCCTCTCAAGGTTTCCCAGCACAGGCTTCACACCCTTTCCGCTGATCCCAAACTCTTCACCAAGCGACTTCAAGTAGCCCGGTTTCAAGCCAAACAACACTGGCCCATCATCCGTCACACGGACAATCACTCTTCCCAGGAACTCAAGCTGCCCTTTCTTGCCAGGCTCCAAGATCCCAGTCTGCTTCATCTTGTAGATCTTGGCCAGCTTAGCATACAACTCCTTGGCAATCTTTGGGTTCTGGGAGAAGATGATCAAGTCATCTACATACACCAACACCAAGGTCAACGACCCGTCCTTCTCAAGACGGTGGTGCACAGTAGGGTCCGCAGTCTCTCCGAACCCAAACTGTCCACGCAACGTGTTGGTGAACTCCAAGTACCAACTCAACGGCCCAACCCGCAAGCCATTCATGGCTTTGTGCAACTGAGCAAACAGCGGCTTGCCCTCTTCATCATACATCCCGTTGGGAAACGGATGCATTCAACACCTTGGACAGGCGCCTGAATGAAGGCTACCGAGACATCTGCAGACAAAAGCGTTCCACCTCGAACCGCGTGAACTGCAAGGACACCTCGCAAAGCTTCCAAGGAGGTTGTAGGGGAATATATCCCATCAGCCAAGGGATTGGAACCGAACGTATAGTCACACACAACCAAACGCGCTCGAACACGGTCCGGGTTTGAAACAGAGGGTTTGGAGGTTAGTGCCCAACGTGGTGTGGATTCTTCGCACGGCCTTCTTCCGGGCCTCAGCTTCTCCAAGCACACTCGCCACACCAAAGGCATCTAACTCCGAGAGCTCAAGCTTCATCCCTTCCTCGAGATGCTTTCTCGCAAAAACCTTACCCGAAACCTCACAGACCGCGTTGTCTGGGACATGCACCCAGATCTTCTTCCCTCCGAACTTCACACTAAACCACTCCTTGGGATTATCTCCTCTCCTCAGCTTCTGGGCCACACGGAGGTCAGGCCCATCATAGAGCTGGCGAAGACCATACTCATAGAGCCACGTGAGGCCCTCATCCATGGCATCATCTCCACCAACATCCATATCAACATCATCCTCATCAAGGACACCACCAACGGGAGGAGGTTCAACATCCATCCCATCATCTCCAGGAAGAGAAGGAGAATAATCAGCAAGATCGTCATCCTCCATCGCATCAGGAGCTCCAAGCTCTTCTGACGGTCCTACAGGGAACTCAAGGCTACCATCAGGCAACGCAGGAGGATCAGGAGGAGGCTGAGGTGCATCCAAGGGCACATCAAACTTGATGGGTCGCTCAGGGTCCTCACGGTTTCCTTTCAGTTGGTCTAGCACTGCTTTGTCAAACACTACCGGGTCCCGGGCACGAAAAGAGCTGAAAATCTCCAACCGAGGCGGCTTCCCATCTCCTAAGGGAACAAAGACACGTATCCCAGAGCCGTTGGCACCGTGAGGCCCAACATAGATAGCCCGCACCAGGCGCTTCCCCCGATGCTCCGGATAGTCCTTTTGAGGCTTACCGAAACCTACCACCCCAAACTCACAACTCTTCACAGCTTGGACCGTGGAACCCCGAAGGCGTTCCAGAGGCGTGCTTTGCTCCTTGGACACATGAAACAAATTATGCATCCTAACAGCATACCGCATGGCTTCAACAAACAAGTGGCTTCCTAGAGGCAGCTGCCCTCCTACACGCTCTTCCAGTCCTAGCCAAACAGACCAAAACGCTTCTTTCACTAGGCAAATGTTACGCTCAACAATGCCTTTCGCCTGGGGCCTGTTCACTGCAAACGGAACCGTCCTACAAACGTCCTATGCTTCGCAGCATCCCGGAACACACTCTCCAGGAGGTGTTCTTGGTCACCGTGGACAACAATGTCCAGCCCGTTGAGGCCCATCTCAGAAAGAGCCTTGCAAATGGTTGGTACAGGCACAGGGTCCTCAGGACCTAAGACAACAGTGCTCAAGTGCTCAAGTATCCCGATAAAAAATGAACCATCAAGAGAAACCGAACATTTCGACCGAAGAAGCCAAAATCCACCTGAAGCTCTCCTGGGGCATAGTGGCTCTTCATGTTCTTGCGCCGTGCTGGGACACGACCACGTGCCGACTGGCACACATCACAGAAACTCAGGTAGGGCTGATGCCCTTTGTTCCGGCGCGCCCGCAAACGCTCTGAAGTGATGTACACTGGAACCTCAAGGTCCTCCGGAGGAGACAAGCCTGACGGCTCTGGTCGAGGTTCGGGGTCCTCAGGGCTCGGGGGCTTAAGCTTTGGTTCTGGGTCTGGCAACAACTCTTCTTCAGACTCAACATTGATCTCAACCGGCAAACCTGCAAGCATACGCGCCCTATGCACAACACGCGCAGACAAAACATGCTCATGCACAACGTGTGGGGCCTCAGGAATCCGCTGTGCTTCCGCTTTGTGCTGCACGCGCAGTGCAGCAACTTTGAAAGTTTAAACCCTTATACCAGTATACTTCTTATAATCACGGCGCGAGCTTCGGAATCTTTTCTCACTCTGAGCTCCGCTGTTAGACTGTTGGGCTGTCTTGAGCCTAGGTTTGACCTTCGGTGAAACACTGGATTCCTGTGTATTTCTGTACTAGGGGAAAATTCAACTATCTGTTACGCCCTCATCGCATACACAGCTTTGTCGTGTAATGCGATCCTTGTGAAACTTTTCCTACATCCACCACGGTTCTCGCATGCTCTTGTGAGCCTTAAGCTTCACTTCTCGCAAGCTTTTCAGCACTTTTGATCGTC